AAACCGGGTCTTAAAGGGCCCTCCGCCCAAATCCTTTTAGCCTTTTTGCCTACTCGAGGTCCTCTATCGAATGATGTATGAACGAACGAAATCGGAGCCGGACACCTGGGGCGGTTCCCTCGTTAGCTTCAAATTTGTTGGCTACATTCTCATAGTTGTTAACGGATAGATGAACTAATGACATATACTTTTTATATAAGTTGTCCCGTCTTTTCTTTAGTTACCTAAGGCTATTATTAAACCATGGTTGGTCTCTAGACTGCGCTATTATAACTTTGTTAGGTATATGCATTCCAGCTATAATTCAAAAATGTTTTGTCCATGTACTACCTTTATCCGAATATTGTTATGTTGATTCAGCAACTCAAAACAATCAATATACATTAAATGTGCTCGAAAATTATCCCAGTTAGTATTTTTATAATCAAAAAATCTTCGGTTGTATTTAGGAAGTGCATTTAGACGATTCAACAGAAAAAGAATTATAGAACGGTCACAACGAGAAGATAATAGCGGAAGAGTACTTACTATCGAAACAGAGAGTAAATGCTTCGTAAAAAAACTCAAATCTAAACATTTTTTAGGAACAGGATGCGTTGCTCTAGATACTAACTGATGTCACTCCTCGTTAGAAGCAAATTGAAATAATCTTTCTCCCTCAGCAGTGCTTAGCCTGGTGGGATACGATGGATGACAGTGTCCATTGAAATCACGTATGAATACAGCAGACTAACTGTAACTGAAATTCGAACAGTATCTAAAACATGACTAACATGGTCAATGAATTCATCTATGTTATGCCGTTGTGGATAATAAAAAATTTCATTTTATTTCGATACCAGTAAAAACCGATATTTCTTGTTCGAGAACATCGAAAAGTGCTCAGTAGCATTAGGTCTTCTGCCGATTCTGAAAAATTTTACGTCCGGGACTTTTACGGCGACCTGCGTAGTGTTCCTTTCGATTTTTTAAGGTGTGGCCAAAAGTGCGTTTAGACTTCTGAAAGGGAAAAGTATTGTCTACAAAATATATGTTTCAGATATCCCACATAGGGTTGCAGCATGCTCTATAAATACAGGCCGCAGAGCTTGGAAGACGTGGAGAGGGCTCTATTGCATACCACTGCGACATTCAGGGGCAGCCGTCGGCAACAGTCTTTTTTTATGGGGTGCTAGATCTGGGCTTGAAAAAGAGCACATGCTCGTATTTTGATATTTTCCTAATAACTCAAAGTTTTTATGTCAAAGGGTTCAGCTCGACAAAATCGAGGTTTCCAAAAATGCTCTGAAAATTCTCGGAAACCTTTCTACTCAAAATCTATTTTTCAAAAATATTTTGTATATAGAAACCATGTCTGTGAATCGATCTCTACATATTCGAAAAATTTTAGTCAGTGCTAAAAATATCAACTTCCTACTGCCAGATGACTCTTACGCTTAGAGAGAATGGTAAACTTTATCTTTCCTCTTGTCTTAGGTCTTGTATGGATTATATTCTATCAGTGGAATTTATAACCTAGTTCGAGCTGAAGGTGGTCAAAACGTTGCCGGCGACATTAGTGTACCGCTCATTACAACAGTATCTGGTTAGTCGTGGTGTTCATTCTCAACCTGACACTCTCTTTAATCTGAATTCTATGAAGGTATATTGTTATTGGCCTTCTATGGTTTTGGGTTATTTTCAATCATTAAACTATTTCGTATGGGAATAATAGTTGTAAGTATGATTGTTTGCTCCGTTTTAAGGCTCTCACTCACTGTGCTATTGTTGTTTTTGTTCTAGTTTGCCTGGATTTGTTACATAAATGTAATATGCGCATGTATTATGGTAATATTCGCAATAGTACAAATTATTAATCTTATTAAGCAAACTCGCAGTCGTATGGCTGTCATTATTATTGGTACGGTTATCGCTGTTACCCTATATGCTCTTCTTTTGCTTATTCAAGTAAGTTCCTCATCTCGTCGATTCTTACTCTTGTTACTATACTCGTTCTTTTATCCTAGGTGTTTACAACTAAATACGCATTTAATTTGGTGAAACGGATAAAAGAAAGGGATGTTTTCCAAATGGAAGATTTTCGATCAAACACAGAACAACATCGATTTCTGCAAAAGCATGTATCTTGTTATAATCCAGTGTGATATTATTTTCAATCATCAATAAACGTTTGTCTCCTCAATTGTATTTGTGCAATTTTTTATTCCTATCTAAAACTGTTTTTCACTTTTCAGCTATATACAACAGAGAAAAGATAAACTAACCAGAAGTGATAAAATATAGTGTGAAACAGTAATAATGTACGAATAAAAACAGGTAGGATGAAAAGTCTCTTAGTATCTCTTCTTATTTTCAACATGAAAATACTCTCACACCCACTGCCGCTGTACAAAAGTCTTTAACAGACTTCTCAGGAACATTCTTCTTATAAATAGGGATGCACCTGTTATTACCGATAAACTTTTCTGAAAGTGTTTGTAAAAAATTATAATAGATTTAGAGTTCTTCGCCAAAGCGATTGCGGCAGAAATAGAAAATGTGAACGCTTCCGCCATGATTCATTTTGTAGATGCTTGGCCTACAAACCAGGTGTTAGAAAAATTTTAATATGTGTACTTTTCGCGCAATATGTTTCAAAAAAGGGCAAATTTATCGTTTATAACCGGTACATGCCTACGTACAACTTAACCCGAAAAAACGGTGCGCGATGCACGCACATTTAAATTTTATTTAAAAGTTTAAACCGAGAAAAAGAACATGCAGCACATATAATAAACAGCGTTACTGATGGGGATAAAATAAAAAGACAGATTTAGTTGGCTTAGAGACAACCATACTACTTCGATAGATTCAAAAAGCATGGACAACGCATCTGGTTAGTCAATCGGCGTTCCTAACAATTTCCAAGCAAAAGAAAAAATCGATAAGCCAGCTCAACCTAGGTAAAGCGGCACATTTAGCTATAAGCATCTGCTTTATAAAACTTTCCTTTTACAAGAGATTATTTTCAGATATGTGTGTATACGGTATCATTCGTCAACTAATTTTTGTCGATTAGCACTTTTATCGACAAGCCATTTTGTCGACGAATATTTTGTTGAGAAATATGCGAGAAAAAAGATGCGAGATAATCCTAATATTTCGTATTCTGTCCATTGTTTATCCACTTCTTTCGACACTTCATTGACACCTACTGTATCAATTAGATTTACTTGATACACTGTTTCTTTATCTTTAACATACAATACTAATCGATAGCATTTTGGATCACGAGTCGTAGAAAAGCCAGATTTTGTTTTACGAAAGCGCGGATTTCTCAACGCTTCAATTATTGCAGATTTTCCGGTCTGCGATCTACCAACTAAAAGTACATTGATCTCTTGTGTTTCATAAAAATACACTCCAGCAAAAGCTGGGTCATTGTGATCAAGAGCCGTGAACAAGTCTGATTCTAGAGCAGCTAAAAGTGAGAAAGGTGACACTTCATTATGGTGTACTCGAATTTAATGGACAGACATTAGCCGACGAAGTTTCAGAGTCCTCGAAAAACACTATTTTCCCACCAGTTACGGTTGTCGAATAACCCACAAAAAGTGCCCCACTCGACTATGTAGTCCACAACTGAGTATGTTGAAATCTGACTCAAAACACATTTTCCTGCTGTCATCCTGTGAATCCGCGCCGATTCTTCAACTCCAAGGCCTATTAACTGTGTAGTTTTATTCCCGTGGCTGTAAAGTCTAGGGTCATTTGAAAAAAATGTCTATAGGTGGCGGTATCCACGTCACAGATATACATACAGTCTAAGGTGAAGGTTAGTCATCAGGCCGCCAACCGTGAAAAATACGTTTAGAAAATGACTTTATCGGAACTGCTGGAGATAAAAAAATTGAACAGATTAAACCGTAGCAGCTGTTACTAGTCTTGAAAAATGTTTTTTATTCTTTTTTAATACTCTCGTCTTAAAATCAAGCACGTTGTAAGTGGATAGCAAATAAACCATCTATGCACTGCGAAAGTTAGCCACTCTCATGCCGCAGAATGGCAAAATCTCCGAAAGTTCATAATTTTAATTGAATTAGAACTGCATAGATATTTCTTTTTTTATACACCTGGAATCTGGGAATTTCTGAGAGTTCATACTTAGTTTTGTGAGATATAAATGCTAGTTTCTATCCTTTAACAGCCGCTACGCAGTCTAATTTGACACATTCCGATAAACTAGTGACATACAATGCGTCGGTGACCTGATGATAGCGTCCCCAAGCATGAATTCATAAGCGAAAAAATCTAGATACACTTGCTGAGGTATCGCCCGATACTCTAGCAAAACTATCTAGATAAAAGAGTAAAAAATATCGGATTATCTTATGCATCGGGTTTTACTCGATTACACGATGCAGTATCCGATGCATAATAGTAAGAAATTATTGGTTGATAGAAAACGATAAGAACTAGATACATCTAGCGATTAAGCGTACGATTCATCTAGCTGTTTAAAAAAAAGAATCGCTAGATATAAATAATAGCGATATAATTAGTTGTAAATCGAGGTGAAAAAAAAGAAAAAAAGAAACACAGTTCGTGCGGAGATTCGAACTCTGTACCTAAAGATCAGTAGTCTCCTATATACGCCATTGTACCACACGAGCTTACACAAATACATATACATTTTTCATTCTCTTTCTTGTTACGGATAAAAAATTTAAAATAACGAATTAACAATAATGAGCGTTTCCCATCATGACGGAAGCATTTATTAGACTTGAGTCTCGAACTTAAAATGCTGGAAATTAAATTTTCTAAAATTTTTGTGCTGGTGTTGCGTCTCTAGCAACCGGTCTTCAGACTAAAGAACGCTTTTGAATGTCTTTTATCCTGATCATCTGCGAGGCTCAGCTTTGTACAATTTGAGCTTCATGGTGCAAAACGAAAATTACTGTTTCTTAACAAGGCGATTTCTCACTAGTTGCATCTAGTTGGAAATCACCTTACACTAGTTGCATCGTCCGTTTTTAACGATCGGGTGGAATGGACATGACTTATAACGATGTTCAAGTAGATGAATTGATCGATATACCCCACGACGCGGCGCCCGACACATTGTACGATGCATCGCCCGTTTTATCGGGCGATTCACGCGTGTCTCATCTGGAGCCGGTACACAATTAGACTGATCTCCCGATATATTGCTCGATGAATCTGGTTAATATTGCTACTAACGGGTGGCCCAGATAAAACCGGCCACTTTTGTTCTTTGTTTTTGAGGCACTTCCCAGTGGTCCAAAGAGATGGTTCTAGGCTCATTCGATAGAGAATGAAATTCTCTACAAATCTGCTATTTAAATCTCTAATAGCATCTTTCTCGTTTGAGCAGCATTCAAAATATTGACTGCTGCTGAGTTGTCGAACTGCGACGTACTTCCGTCGTCTCCTTTTTTTTGATTTTTAGTTCATTGCCTGAGGTTCATCAGTTAATTTTTCTATGTACAAAGTTAGAGAATTTTATGTTCTATCGATCTCACTCATTCACAACTTCGTACAATGCTTCCGCTAGGTCAGCTGGACTCATAATTAGTTCTCAACTGGCTTTTCAATTTTTTAAATTAAATTAAATCTGTTAATTAGTGCTTTCAATTGAGAAACTTTGTTTATATATCAAAAGATGCAGAATTTAATTCTGTGTAAGGTAATAAGATTCAAACTTGAATTTAGAACATTTTACTACTTTTAAAGAATTATAATTGATTCCTTTACCGAAGATTTTTCAAATGAAATGGCTTGGTATAGTCTCTTGTGAGTGCAGAATTTAATGATATATCAGCTGATAATATTTTCACATTGAACCGTGGTCGGAGTGACTTGGACTGTATTTTGTTTATACTCTTCATTTTCAGACAAAGACTAACTTAAAACTGAAGGGTGCTTCAAAAGTTTCGACCTCATTGCATAAATTGACATTATTTGTATTAAATACATCCAAAGGACTCGAATGAAATATACAGTTTTGTAGAGAAAGATTGTAAAGAAAGAAAGAAAGAAAACCAAGGCCGGTTTCTCCGAAAACCAGGAGAAACTCTATTCTTTTCTTTGAGTATTCGCAGATTTATTAAGCACTTCCACGCTCAGGCTCTATCGTGCTTAAATCATAAAATAAAAGTTGAACAAAAGTGTAAAAAGAAACGTCCTCTAATTAAAGTCCGAATATGACGGCTACTTTTTTTATGTTGTTAATAATGGCTAGCCATTCAGCTTTTCTTCTGGTCATTTTTGCATCAGCAAGCTGACGTTGTATCTACTACTCTTCATTAGATTTTTTGAAAACCCTTATTCCATCGGCTATTTCTGCCAACCTAACATCGTTCAATTCGTAAGTTATTATCCAATGAAATATGTTTCTATAGCAGTGCTATTATGCGTGGAGCGACGAATAAAGTGTGAAAATTTCGTAAGGGCCCGTGAGACGGGAAGGATAGAAGTTAGAGGATTTGGATATCGGTGCAATGAGAATTTACGGAAAAAAGTCAGACAGAAGATATTGACGAAGAGAAATGTAGTTTTGAGCGAAAACCATCTTCCTGTGAGATTTATTTCGACTATCCTACTACTCGTAAAACATTGATTCTGGTCTCAACTGACAAATTTCCGAGGTACGCAAAAACAAAATGTTCGTGAAAATTCATGTTCAACAGAATAAAAAAGATCAAATCCTATCACAGAAACTTGGTTTTTCAGTAAGCCTTAGAAATTCGTTTTGTTTTTTTATCTTTTTAAATCTATTGCGCAATGTCAGCGACTACGGTCTGTACCCTCCAGAAACAGTTTCCGTGTCGTCAGCTTAAAGTGAGTCTCGAAATTTTACACAAATGTTGGAAAAAGCGAGTTTTGTAATGAAACCATTTTTCCATCGATCCCAGCCTAGTCACGCGTACCAGCAACTTAGGGTTAACCACGTGGACATTAGGTGATGAAAACGAAAGCGTGATTTCGGAGACTTGAATAGTGATACATAGACTTAGACTTAGACATTTGTTTGAGAACAAAAAAGTAAAAAGAACCAATACAATAAACTAGACACTAGCAAATGACGAATTATAAATAAAAAAGGTTTCTCTAGAACTTGTAGACCGTCAAGAAAAGCAAGTAGCAAAATCAATAATACAACTAATTTCGAGAAAATAGTTTTCCTCAACAACGAATGTAGAATAAATCCACAAGTACTCGATCACTTTTTACAAAACCTGTTGTGCAAACTGTGAGACAGGTTTTGTGATGCAGTTTTGCACGCTGACTCCAGTGGTGAAAACTGCAGCCCGCTAGCTGGTGTGATAAAAAGTTATAGGTAAAACACCCTCCCAGCAGAAAAGTCGCATTTTTCCATCTTTTCCAGCAAAAATAGTTTATATTGCGGAGCCTGTGTAGACTACAATTCCACTGATTAGTTTATTGTTGTCCAAAATCCAATAATTAGAAAATTAAAATAAATATTTGCAGAAAGTGCATGGTTAGGATATGGATTTTTCACGGTTCTAGGCCATTAATCTCTCCCTTTTTTCTTCGCTGCCGCTGTTCTTCGTCTCTTAGTTATTATCAAGTTGAAAAGATCTTAATTGTTGGACTTTCGGCAATGATTAATCTATTGTTACCGAAAGTTCAATAATTAAGAAAATCATTGCCGAAAATCCACCATTTTAGCCTATTTAATTAAAAAATGTCAACTATCTAACTATCTATAACAAAACTTTCGGCAATTGCCGAAGGTCATGCCGTAAGTCGAACTTTTGGCGTAATCGGGATCGGAACTTCGGCAATCATAATAAAATATATTAAAAAATATAAAAATATAGTTAAAATTGTATTACATATGACGTGTGCAGATTTAAAATGTAGAGTGACTGCTTGGACTTATTCTTGTTAAACGCCTATTTATAGTTTCTTTTTCGTTTTGTTTTCCTTTACAAGATCTATTAACTTTCTCTCTTTCTCACAATACATAGAACCAAGACGTACTTATTCATACTATTTTCGTACTCTACATTTTAAATCTGCACACGTCATATGTAACAGAATTTTAACTATATTTTTATATTTTTTATATATTTTATTATGTTCACTAAAGAAGACCTCAGTTATAAGAAGTCGAAACGTTTGTTTTGTTAAATTTTAATAAGTTTTAAATTGTTTAAAATTAAAAACAGAACCAAAGTATCTTAGTTTAACGCAAATATATATCTAATCCGTATCGTCGGCCAATTGTTACTCGAAATAACTATTGTGAACTTGAATTTAATATTGCATGACCCATATCGGTGTAGAGTCCTACCAACATGTCTTCGTGTCTTTTTCTGTTGGTCGACCAATTGTTGTTTCCTAACAGTTAATTAAGCAAGAGATTGATAGTACAATGAAGAGATGGTGTGACCAATGCCGAAAGTTTTGCTAATTTTTCAACATTTTCACTATCATCGAATGTCATACCTTTATAAATACTCGAAAGGGTTTTGTTGAACAAATTTTTTATACGTTCTTCTAGTTTTGTCACTTCGATCTTAGTATTTTTGTTGATTTCACCCTGTGTCGAAGACAATTTTTCGATTTCTAACATTTTTGTTTGTAAGTCTGTTACGACTAGGGGTGGCACATTACTGTTACTTTTACGAGTAATCTAAATATTGTATATATTCCTATTACCAATAACAGTAATACTTTCCAGTTTTACTGTTGCTGGTAATAGAAATGCTCATAAAATTTGTACCGGCAACAGTAAAACTGGAAAGAATTACTGTTACTGGTAATAGGAATATATACAATATTTGGATTACTCTTAAAAGTAATAGTAATGTGCCACCCCTAGTGCGAACCAGTAGGAAGGAATGAACGCTTTAAAATTATTAATGACGCGAAATACAGATGATTCAACTTCGTTTTTGTACCACTGTATTGCCTAACTCTAGTGATGAGACAAAAAAACAAAAGTTTATTTCACCAGGCATTTCAAAATTGTACTAACAGCTATGGCCAACTCATCATGTCCAAACGCTGTCGCTGAACTGTTCACACCGAACGTGTAAAGGGATTACTGGAAGTACTGAAATAACATATGCCATCCGGTGAAAGAGAACATTTGATATTCATGAAACTGACATCTTGGGTGTTGCCTCGATTGTTTGTCTTGTTCGCTAGTGCTATGCTAGGATTCATTCTGACATCAAGAAATAACCTAGGCTTTTATTGGTTGCTGTGTTTGCACTTTTCGTTGGCATCAAGAGAGATAATGTAGATAATGTACAGATGTGTTAAAGACAGAGTATACACAAAAAATTGTACAAATATTCAAACAGAAAGGACAAAGTATCAGTAAATCCTCACATATCTCTCAATTTTTTCTGTCGGAAAGGAGCTTTGAGACCGTTATCTCTACGCAAACGGTATGTTAAGAGAACTTCGAATATACGATCTTGTTAAAAAATTGGAAGTGAAAAACTGCTTGTGTTGAAACGCGCCATCACAGTGGGCAATTTTGGCTAGAGCAGCAGGCTGGCATGTGCAATTAATACAATAATAACTTTTGATAGAAAAGAGCTAGAGAGCTCCGGTTTTCGCCATTTGAAAGAAAAGACTTTGAGGCATTTTTTGATAACCAAAATTGATTTCAGAAGAGTATTCTGAAACAGGTTTGCTAAGAGACCTTTGGAAAACGAGGCCGTCTGTAAAAATTTTCCAATAGGTGTGTATCGTTTTCTTTACATGGACTGATAGGTCGGGGTATTCTCTTGAAGATGGGAGTGAAGCGAGACCTTGTTTTTCCACGGTTCAGGCGTTGTATCGGATTTCCGATAAGTCCTATAACTGGCGCCCGGTGACTATTGGTAGCCTTGAAGACGGATGAAATATGGGTAATTGACCATGCTGAGTCTCATGGCAATACTCGTCTTTAGAAAAAAGTTTAGAAATCTGCCGAAAAGCCAGCTTTACGTAAATTATTGTTTTCAGGCTAATTTCATCTAATATTAAAAAATTCACTATTCACTCAAAAAACATTAGAACGAGTTCAGAATTTCAAAAGATCGAGTATTTAAGCTATTCTATATACTGTTTATAGGAGATCTCAAAAGAAACATTACAAAGCCCTAAGGTTTTTCAAAAGGGTTTCTGGAAAACCCAATAATAAAAATATCCTTTTTCTGATTTTTCGATCGTATAATCACGTTTAGCAGAAGAAATTAATCATATCTTGAAATTTTGAACTCGTTCTGATGTTTATTGAGTGGTTAGTGAATTTTTTAATATTAGGTGAAAACAGCTTGAAAACTCAAGTTTTCGTAAAACTCGCTTTTCGGTAGATTTTCAGAACTTTTTCTAAAAACAAATATTAACAGGAGGCTCAGTATGATCGATTGCCTATAATCCCTCCGTTTTCACAGTTACCAATGTCATCGAGTACCAGTCCAGGAACTCCCGAGCCCATGATGTTTTGGAAAACGTCCAGCACAATCCAGAATCACTGGCGCTAATCGGCGCTATGATCAATGGTAGAAGACACATAGAGGAGTATTTGGCGAAAGGTTGAGCTTGATTGGACTTTAGCTGTTTGTAGCGTTTACAAAATGCGGAATGCTGAATTTTTCGAAATATTTTTAGCATAGAAATTTAAAAAAGTTTTCTGGAAAAACGAATGTTAATTATATATGATTCGATGCAGCTGGACGAGCTTATTCTGAATATCACATTGGTTTTGCGCTAAAATGTTATATTAGTCGCAAAAAAAGGCATTTGGAGTCAGAAACCATGGTTTGTTGGAAAACCTTCAGCACAATCCAGAATCACTAACGTTAATTGGCGCTATGACCAATGGTAGAGCGCACATAGAGGAATATTTGGCGAAAGGTTGAGCCCGATTGGACTTTACGTATTTGTAACGTTTACAAAATACAGAATGATGCATTTTTGATACTCAGTTTTAGCCTGTTAGATATTTTTTGCTGTAACAATTTGAGTTCAATTGCAATGATCTTTCCATTAAAATGGAGCTCATAGATTAATTCTTTTCAGATAGTTTCTCAAATTAAACTATTCCAGTAAGTAAGTCAAAAAATTAACTTTATCGGAGGATAGCGATTTTTGAACAAATTTCTTAGTATGTGTTTTCCAACGTTCAACTTAATTCTGAAACTGCTATTTCAGGACAAGATAGACCAAAAACAGAAGTAATTATTTCAATGTTTAAACTCTGAAAAATAACACTTTCGTTTTATGTCCGCCTGGTTGCCCACGGTGCATGATCGTGAAACTAAACATGTCGCTGTAAATGATGCATTTAAAATCAGCGACTGCTGGTCGTTTTTTTGAAAACGAAACAGATCTTGAAAGGTTGCGTTCAACTCCTTCAAACTCTCTGCACTATCAAATTAATGTACTAAAAATAATTTTATTCTATCGCAATAGGGATGGATTAAATATTCTTTCTGCATTCTCTCCATAGTTGGATTTTCGGTCACGTTTCTAATCATATGCCAGCATCTAACTAATTACGAAAGAACATAAAAGAATGCGTCTGCTTTCCATTCTGCCATCCAATATCCAAAAAGTTTCTTTTTTTCTTGTTGTGTATGTGCATTCATCGTTGATCTTCTTCTGTTTCTGTAGAAACGTTTTTTCCATCTGTCTAGATAAATTTTCTAATTCTTTTTCTGTTTATATCAAAGATCTATGCACATCTTGATATTATTTATTTTTTTTCGCACAAACATACGAAGAATATATTGATAATATTGTAGCCAAGAAACAGGCTGGGTGTATTCCATCATTTTTCGTACCCAAATCTCATGTACAAAAACATATTTGTTTATCTGTTTAACCGAAAATCAGTGGAGTGACAAGAGTTTTATTGGTGAATTTGTCTTAACTTTTATTGCTTCGGCTAACGTGAAAGAAAAAAACAGTAACAAGCTTGTTATACACAGAACACCTGGTATTGCCCAGTAACAATGTTTTTTTATATACTTTAGCTTTTATCTGAAATTGTACGGTTCGACCAGCACCTGTTTATTTTTTGACGGTGCTTTGCGTGAGGTGGTAAGATGGAGACAAAATTTGAAGCAATGTCCGATGATCTTCTAATGGTTCTATTCGAATATTTAGACGTTTGTCATTTGCTTAAGTCGTTTTCTAATCTAAACCAACGGATTGATTTTATTCTTAACGATAAACGACTTCGTTTACATTTCATCTCGAATAGAGACAACAACGTTTCTATTCGAATGACACAGACAAATCGATTGTTTTCTGTTAAACTTGACGACCGTGAAGACCAGCTGAATTGGTCTGATCTGGTCTCACTTCGTCGTTTGGAATTGAATCATGTCAATCCAGACGAAATAAAGTCGATTTTATCTAGTCTACCATCTGTGACAAAATCGTTACTATTGAACTCGTTGGTAATTAAATATTCTCAAGAATGTGCGGGTGAATTAAATTTGGCTTGCCATTTATTTGTTGCACTTCCGTCACTGGTCAACTGCGTATTCGATTTTGCTCATTTTATGGATTTTGGTATAACTACAAGAACGATGACACACCTGCAACGACTGACAATTATTTGTCACATGAAAAATCTGTTTCAGTTAGTCCCAATAACTCCGGCAATAAAATATTTGAGTAAGTTAAAACATTGCTACTTTATTGTTATACTCAAGACAACCCTAGTCGACAGTCCTGAGTGAAATCTCGCAGGTCTTCGTTCGGACTCACTCAGGAGCCCCAGAGGAGTCTGCATTGTTAAAAAATTTCTAACTTTTTTTAAGTCCAGCAGGAGTTCTTTACGGGACTCCCGCAGGACAGGAAAAGCGACGCAGTACGAGAAGATAAAATTAACTTATCTTCCAAAAAAGCGAAAATACCTCCCAGTCAGTCATAGTCATTCCAGAAAAGCGCAGGGAACTCTGTTTACGAAAAATCATTTTTCGTAAACAGAGTTGTTGTCTTAATGGGAGTTGACCCAATGCGCAAAAATTCCCGGTTACGCTACTGGTTGGAAGCGAAGCTTATGAGATTTTCATCTCAGATAATGTCAGATATTTTATCTTCGTCGGAAATCCGTTCTAATTAGTTTTGCGAACTCCGTTATTCAAAGTCCCCAATTCCTTTTCTTCTCCTAGAAGTAACATTGTATTACTGTTTTAGATGCAAAATTATATAATCTCGAGCCAGTTTCTTTAACCTATGATACAGCCAGTAATACAGTGACCAAGTGGAGTTCATTAACATGTTTATCGTTGAATATGATGGTCGGTGTTCCGTTGGAACTGATGTTTTCGCTTTTAAATTTGACACCCGCCGTGGTCCAATTTCGATTATTCGGTGCCACATCTGATCTAAACTATTTAGACGGAAAATTGTGGGAAAATGTCTTCACCACAAACACTTTGTGCCTTCGTCATTTGACATTAGGCATCGACGTTGTAAATGTGAAACCTGAACAACAATTCAACGAAGAACAAATGCTATTGAAATATCAAACTGAAGTTTATCGTGAACGAAAGTTTTTGGCTGTATTTGCGATTAAAGGTGGAGAAATTCAATTGAGAGGTTTTACGAATTAACTGAAGGTTTATTCTTGTAAATAAATGCATGAATATTTTCACTGCTGACAGTATCGTAGTCAGTTATTAAGAGAAATAAGAGAAAAGTTGCATTAACTGTAATTTAGAGACTGTTGCTTAGTAATTCGTTCACAACTACTGACACAAAAAGAGTACTTCTCAGAAAGATCATCACAATTCTTCGAGATATCAATACTACACTTTCTATAAGATAAGTAACGTTTGTCTTGCGACGCATTAATCTCTTGACTAATGGAGTATAGAAAGAGAGTGTTTTGATTAAGTGTCATAGCACGATTCAATCATGCCATGTATTTAATGTTGTTGATATGTAGTTAATACCAACAGGTATCTCTTATTCTTTGTTGGTGAGGTCTTAAGAAAACGAAAAGTAATTAATATAAACAATAACAATAATATCAATAAAATGACGAGGATTCAGTTTCTAATAGTAACACATCAATCCCGCCGGATTCCAAAGAAATACATCATATATAATGTTCAAATAGAAATAATTTGAGAAACGAAGTCAACACACATGAATCCCGTCTATATATCGGGTGGCCCAGAATAAATGGTCCTCCTCGTATTTTGCTTATAATTTCTTTTCTTTTCAATCCTTAGACTTGATTGTTTTTCCAAAAGATGGACAGGCAAATTCTCTACAAAACTTGATCAAACTTGTCTCTATCTCTCTAAACGTTAAGGAGAAAAATGAAACGAAGAATACTCAACATGATCAAAAAGACTAACTTTCTAAGCTATTTTGTTCTGGAATATTTTAAGGAACTCTAAAGATAAGGAACAAAAGTGAAGATATTTTTGAGTACTTTGAAGTACGCTCTTTCTCTTTATGCAGTTCACAGTTCGCTTAAATCTAAGTGAGCACTGAAAAATCTAACATTCCAAAATTCGCCTCAAAGCGACCAAAATCTGCTATTGCTCGGCCGGTGAGTTTATGAAGAAAACTTCAAAGTAAATTTCGCAGAATCTGGCATAGGTGTCATTTCTCATCAGAATAAATGTAGACCGGGCTAAAAAGGTGCTATGTTGACCTCGTTATACAGCATTTTCCCGGAGCCCTGAATCTGCACATTCAAATAGCTGGATTTTGCAAAGCATCAAAGGGGAGAAAGTCGATGTAAGCCTTAAGATTGATTTTATATTGAGCACCTAATACTGATTGAAAGAGCTTTTCAAGAGCTACAAAATGCGTATATTCTCTTCTTTTTATCATCCAACTCAATGAAATTGGTGGAACAAAACGTTCTTTCAGCTTAGAAAGTTGGTCCTTTTGATCATGTTGAGTATTCTTCGTTTCATTTTTCTCGTTAATGTTTTATAGAGACAAGTTTTATCAAGTTTTGTAGATAATTTGTCTGCGCATCTTTTGGAAAAACAATCAAGTCTAAGGATTGAAAAGAGAAGAAATCATAAGCAAATACGAGGAGGGCCATTTATTCTGTGTCACCTGATATTTACACGCAGTATAAATGAGGAATCCGTGAATGACGTAAAAATAAAAATAAACCATGACGCCAGCATAATTTCAATAAACAACAACACAAGAGAATCTACAAAAAATAGAAATAAAAGGATGAAATGTAATCAAAGAAGAAGAGAGGTAATAATCATTGAAATAAAACCATTATTAGCACCAAAATTCTGTTGAAAATATAACTCCTTTTTCTTTAGTTACAAATGACGGATTTACAACTCATTTGCAGTTGTTGTGCGCAAAGAGAGAATGGTTTTATCTTGTGGAGAATTCTTTTCTCTATAAGCTATGTTCTTCATGAAAATTTTACTTTTCGTTTTCGAGTTGAAAATAGCCGTTTAGAACTAGGTTTCCAGTTAAGTGTCTTTTCGCCGACTAAGATTAGCCTAAAAGACTTTCCGCAAATACACCTGATCTATGCAGTTTTCTTTCGCCGATCAAATGACGTATTTGAATTCGAGTTTTATTTAGTTATAGTCTTGAGAGGACATTTCTAAATGTTTTTAAAGCTCTAACGGGTGTCACAGAAGTTTTGCAACACCTTATGTTTTCGAATATTTCAGCCTAGATACACCATAGATTATACAATCTGTTTTCAAACGATGCACAATTTAATTCTTGACAAAATTCATGTTGACGATTTTTTTGCAGTAATGAAATTCTAAATTTCTAGGCGTAAAACACTTTGATGGCATCAAATTCAACCACTTTCCAGTGAATTTTGGAATTGTTCGTATGCAGAATCTCAACAAATATCGGGCTCATAAAATACGACTCACCAATACATAGTCCTTAAAAATGTCTAATCATTGCATATGCTTAGATATTTTCATTGCTAGTTTCTACTCGTTGAATGACATTTTTTCTGAAAGTTATATTTTGAAAAATAGCGCGATTTTCCTCTTCCAGTTGCTGTCTTCAGAAAAAAACATTATAAGAAAGCTATCTATTGCTTCGAAAAGATCATTAATATAAAGTTTTATACGAAAACGATTTATCTTTCTTCCTACCACAAAAACAGTGAATAAACATTTTTATAGGGTAAGGACATAGTTGATTGCTGCAAAGAAGGGTTATTTTTATGATCAAAATTAAATACAAGGATTTTTGCTACGGCAACAGATACCGGGTCGAGAATATTTTATATATCTTTGAAAGAGCTGTTGATGCACTACCGAAAAATGAATATTTGATCTTCTCAGCATTTCTCGTTAGCACCGAAAAAAATTTACAGAACATTCTGAGAATCAATGGGAGTGGTTGAACTTGATGCCATCAAAGTGTTTGACCTCTAGAAATTTAGAATTTCATTATTGCAAAATATAGTCAACATGAATTTTGTAGAGAATTAAATTACACATCTGAAAACAGATTGAATAATTTACGTTGTAGCTAGACTGAAATATTCAAAAAATATAAGATGTTGCAAAACTTCTGTGGCACCCGATAGTAAGGTCTTTTTCATCCATTTGTGTTTGCCAGAGTGTAGAGTAGTAAATTATCGAATGACGTAAAAATAAAAGGTTCATCTATTCGAGAAACTAGAAAAACTGGAGACAAGCAAATGTATGATTCTTCAGTTCTCAAAACACAACTAATTTTAAAGAAAATTCTTTTTTCACACCAAGAGCCCAATTTGAAAACGTTCACTTATACCCAAATGTAGTAAAGACTCTAGTATATCTGTCCATAAAAGAATGATTTCTTTGGCAACTTTCTTTGGCAGAAAATGTGTTCGCAAAGTTTTTTGTTCTATTGTACGATCAATTTTTCATAAAAATCGCCTGAATATGGAAAAATTGAGAAAATATGAGACAGATCGGGAAAACGAACAATGACTAAAAGAACATAAAATATATAAATGAAAATATCAAATCAAGAATAAGAATCAAAACAAAAACACAAGAATAAACGATAGTAAACAATGAACATCAATACAACATTCAAGATCAAATACAACAATATATGTGCGTGATTAACAAGATATTTACGAAAATACAACTGAATAATGCGTTAAGTTTAGTCTCTATTATGATAATATTTTAGCATTTTTAAACGAAAATTTTATTTTATGTTTTAAATCATCAGTAATTTCTGTATGTTGATTTGGTGGAAAATGAATAAGTATTTCATTCAGCGGTGTATATTGAAATTTGTCTTGCTGTTGTTCAAAGTACAATTCATCTGTAACATTAATTAATAAATCATAATCAATAGCAAGACGATATAAATTTGGTAATAATTTAAATAAATGTTTAACAACACAATGATCTTGATTATTTGTAATTATTAATGTACGAACTGTATCCAATGTTACATCATTTTCCAAATTATCATTATGTAGTTCAAAACTAGAACCAACCTCTAATATTTGAAGATTAGTAAAGACGGTTTTTAATAGACGAAAAAACTTATATGTATACATTGGTTGTTGTTTATCATTTAGAAATAGTCGTGTAATTCGTGGTAGTTTTAATTCCTCTTGCCGATTATTTAAATAATAATTTAAAAATTCATTTGTTAACGAACAATTAAACTTTTGACAATCACGTGGCGGTGAAACTAGTGTATAAGTTTGATAAAATGAATTTGTAAAAAACATAACCGGTTGATGTGACCATGCCAGTGTTTGAAATGATGATAATAAATCCAAAGCATTAATCGACAGATCATCAAGCGAATGACAAAAAAAATAAAAATAAAATTGTTTTAATGATCTTTTAAATGGTTCTAACATTCGTCCATCAATTAAATAATCAATTTTAAAACGTATTTTTAATATTTCTAATGTTGATTGACATTGCTTAAGTAGAAGACAAATGTCACTGAAGTGAATATCGTTGGCAGATAAAATAAATTCACGTAATTTTAATGATAAATGTTTTGTTTTTGAATAATTATAGTCATATTTAGCAGCTTTACCTTTAATAACGAATCAAAGAAGATAAAGGATGTGGGAAGGTTTTCACTTAGAGCAGTCTTAAATAATTTCGAAAACAAACTATATGATGATGATCACAATCGAATTCTGAACAAAATGGCTCATTTCGTTTTTCAAATTTTTTACTTTCATTTTTTTTCAAAAATTTTCTGCCCTTATCTCACGCTTGAATCATTGAAAATTTTTTCATCTCGGGTTTCGATTAAAGATACATCGTTCGGCGCAGAATTCCACGCTGATTACGAATATGACTTTTGTTTTGCATGAAAACTTTCTGAAACCGAGTAAAAGGTTTGTTTCTCGTCGAACGTTATTTATAATCTTCTGCAGGAGTTGGCCTACTGAAGGCAGAAATCTTACTTTGAACTGTAAAGAGCTGCTAGATATACGCAAAAAAGATGGGCTCTTTCAGAATATCACGTCCGAAACTATATATGACTCCGTTAAAGGGCACTTTTAAAGTACATTTTCTATGGGTTTTTGACCTAACGGTTGCGAGCGCTGTTGGACGCGAAAGTGTTAGAGACTATAACTCAGCTCAGGAGTTGGTTAGATCTATCGCAGAGAGATGATTGACGTCTTATTTTCTTCAGAATCGAATGCTCCTTCTAGTTGGATAGTCAAAACTGAGTTTCGGATTTTTGCAGTTTTCTAGAAGGTTCTGAAAAACCAGATTTGAGAATTTGACCTGTTGTACAACTTTTTCTCAGCATTTCCTCACGCCATGCGAAAGAGCATCAAAAAATAGGTCTGCAGGTGAAATTGGTATTTCAGGGGGAGGCGGGGTTACTATTACATACGGTGTGACGGAGTTGTGTGTTTGTTGTGCCTTAACTCTGTCGTTCTCGAAGGAAACCACCTGACGAGACTCTTGAGAAAGGTCGAAACCGGCCATGGTATCTTTTTTGGATTCTTTTAGAAATGAATTCTGTCTGAGTCTCTAGTAACAACAAAGCGATTGTAAAATTAACTAAAGATAAAGATTTCTGCCTTCAGCAGGCCAACTTCTGCAGAAGATTATAAATAACGTTCGACGAGAAACAAACATTTTACTCGGTTTCAGAAAGTTTTCATGCAAAATAAAAGTCATATTCGTAATCAGCGTGAAATTCTGCACCGAACCATGTGTCTTTAATCGAAACCCGAGATGAAAAAATTTTCAATGATTCAAGCGTGAGATAAGGGCAGAAAATTTTTGAAAAAAACGAAAGTAAAAAATTTGAAAAATGAGATGAGCCATTTTGTTCAGAATTCGATTGTGATCATCATCATATAGTTTGTTTTCGAAATTATTTAAGACTCTCTAAGTGAAAACCCGCCCACGTCCTTTCTACCATCAAGAAATGGAAAAATAGAGTTTTGAGACTAAAATGAGCTCGGCTCGTACTCAGATAAATGCTTCGATTGACTGAGCACGCGGACAGATAAAAAGAGCAGGTTCAATTAAAAAGATTGTTTGCTGTACAAGACGCTATCAACAAAAAATTTTAAGAAGATTATTTTGGGGATGACAATTCTTTTATAAAAATATCGCAGAATTTCAATCGGTAAATATCAATGTATGCTTACATTCTAAAGTAGAAAATAAATGTTTTTCTAAGAATGTCTGTATACTTTCATTTAGAAAATCAAATTTTCTAAAACTGTGCATTTTCTTTAACTCATATAAATTTCATAAAAACTTGATTTGAATCTTTTGCGAATTTGAAAACTAGAAATTCATCAACGAAAGCATATAGACATTCTTGGAAAATCCAAATTCAATGTCCAGATTTAATCGATTTTCATACAAACATATTGCTATTGCATTTTTTTCTTCTTTTTTTAAAGCAGTATTCACCATTTTCGAATCAAAACATCATCAAAGACAGCTCTCAGCGGAGGACTCCGCCCAATGTCTCGCTCATGCTACTGCTGCTGCTCCCAGAAACGTGTAGCTGTGGTACAGCAAGGACCAATGTAATCCTGCATGGCTGAGATCTTTCGGTAGTTATCCAGTTTATCAGTTCTAGACAGACTTCATGCTTAAAAGCGATATATTCTCTATTTGCGAAAAAGCTGAGTTTTGTCGAATGGTTGGGTCTAATGAAGACTTTTATGATCACACCTTAATCACCGGGACTATATCTAAGCTACCTCTAACAATACTTGTGCGTCATTTTCAAAGTCGATGCTGTTACTGAAGGTCATAGTGGACTCTCGTTTATTCATTCATCGTACAGTTGCCAGGTATGTGCTATTTTGCGTACATATCAATTTTTATATTATTCTTTCTTATTCTGTCGATCATTCATCACTGATAAACTTCTTGCAAGCATTCCAGATCTCTAGATATTGTAGCTTACAGTTAAAAAAATTAGTTTTGAGACTTTTTACTGAAGAGACTTGTTGAAAATCTCAACTAACCTTCTCTAATTCCAACATTTAAATATTCCAGTTGCGGGAGATACTCTAATAATATGAATAATTGATGTTGATATTCAATGAATATTGTTAAGCATTTAAGTGTCTGGCATATTTGGAACTGTTCACCATCAAATGATAAACAAACACCATGAATGGTTAATGTATCAAGTAGAATAGATGACTCAGCATTGTTGGTAATAAACTCATTCAAAATATCATGGTCAATTCTAGACAATATTGTTGCATTTTGATAGTTAAGTAATAATGAGGATATTGTTTGTTTGAATACTGGTAAATATTGTTTGTAATGTCCATTTTGTAAGAAAATTCCTAAATGAATTGTTTTAAGTTGAGTAAAATAAGTCGAAACATCATTGAAAGATTCAAATACCAAATCTAACTGCATATCATTTAATTTCAATGTTTTTATTAATGATGGTATCAGTTGAAAATTTTCAGTAAACCATTTGTCTACACTATTGGTCATCGATAAATCTATATGTTCAATGTAATGATGACATAATGAATTAAATCGGATGTTTAAAGACAAAAAACTATAAATAATTTCATCGGATTGAAGGTAGGAGAATACATAGTGTAATAATTCGTTTGGGAATTGTTCCAAAGTTGATTTTGTGGTTACCATTGTTGTTAGATCTAAACGCGTACAATTACCTAGGAAGAGTGAAAATTGATCATGGACAATAGACCGCTAAGAAAACTAGTCTATCGATGGAATTAGTCAAAGTCGAACTATCTTCCTTCGACTATCTTTTATTTCAACTAATTCTTTCCATTATGTCTACATAACGATTAGTACAATCGCAAACAGTAACCGGTGCTATTGTTGAAAGATTATGTTTATGCAATTGACTAGCATCCACGTCAAAAGAATGATTTCGCATGATAGTCAATCGAACTGTATCATAACTAGACAGACTTACTCCAAACTTGAAAATATTCTGTTTTGTTCCGTGGTAATATTTGTAGTAGAAGACTTCAACTAACTTCATGGAGACCAATTTTTATTCATCACTTGAGGGTAACCCTCCCCTCTTTTTGGGATTTCCGCAGAACTGCTGTAAAACAAAAAATAAAAGTCTTGCTATTTTCAGAACCGATTGAAAACTCAATGGAACATTTTTTCGTTTTTGTTTCAAGTGTTTAACTATTACCATTCACGACTTTTCCAAAAAACGTCATTTTTCATTGTGTCACATTAGATTTCATCCGATCGAGTTAAACATTTTACTAGAGGTACTCACGGTAATATCGCAGAAGTATTTTAGGAAAATTTTTTTTCAAACCTTTCCTTGTGAAGTTATAGGAAAAATACTGAAAAACGTCTCAAAAAGCAAGTTTCTCAATTTTAGAAACCCTATAACGCGGTCTAAAATAATATTCAAAAAAACTGCCTCTGCAATAGTGTCTAAAGTACCTATGGTAAAATTTCTAACTGGATCAGATGAAATTTAAGGGGGGTCACAATGTGACACAATGAAGCTCGGTAGCAAAAAGATAGTTTTGAGAAAAACGTGTGTTGTACATAAGTTACTTTTTTCAGCGTATTTGCCGCGATGCTTGTATCTTCGCGAAAGCTCGTCGAAAAATTCTGTACAACGTCTGATTGTGAAGAAAACACTTTCTTATATCAGACTATGTGCAGAGAATATTTTGAATGTGCAGAAAAGGAGAGAAAAGTTCATGAAACTAAAAACTTGAGTTTTATTAGGCTTAAAGGAAAACCTTCAAAAATGCATAACTTTTTGAAGAAAGGTCATGAAATACTAAGAGAGGTCTTATTTTATAGCCCACGTTTTCCTCAGTAGGCTATGCTCAGTTCAAAATCCGAAAAGTTTCCAAAAAAGAGGGATGATACCCTTAATTCGTCGTCTATAAAAAAATGAAAAATTTAAAAATGCGTACCATATTGCTCTACTTCTTCGTTCTTGGATGACATTTTGTTAGTGGTTTGAAATCTTAAATAAAAAAACAGTTAGGCAGAAATTTTGATACTATTGCAAGTTTCTTTAGTCATAAAACATAATCTTTAATTCGAAAATAAGTCGAAGTTTCTTTGAGGCAAGCGAAAATACTCAAAGCCCAAGAAACAGGAATCGGTTAATTAGAATAATCTTTTATCGATAAGTGACTAACGCTTTCTTTGTCAGCGCATAGAAACTTAATAGTTGTTTTTAGAAGAAAGCAACAAAAATAACAACTTACACTGCACTGTACAACGTCTTCCTCTTTTGTATACATGCACATAGATAAATGAAACAGGAGAGAAACAATCGAATATTCCTAAAACGACATAAGTTCTTCTTTCTCCTCTGTGCTGCATGATGGTGATAGAACATTTTTCTTTTTCTTCGTTACGCAAGTCTCGTGTACTAATACAGAACCATGTTGTAACAACCTCACCTTCATTGTGGGGGCAAAAAATACAAATAAAAAATGCTTGTTAGTCGAAGGAGTTTATTTTTTCTAAACAATGTTTTCTTGTTGAATGTAAGAAAAAATTTTCCAAATGGAACATCGTACTCTATCTACTAACCCAAAGTGCTAATAGATAAGCTAGATATATGCAAAAAGACGGGCTCTTTTAGAATATCCCGTCCAAAACTGCATCTGACTCCATTAAGTGCCGAAAAGTCAAATTCAGTTCAAAAATTCCACAAATTTCGCTACTATCTACAGATGATTTCTGCTATACCTAAAGAAAAGCTTGAAACAAATACAGGTTGCACCTGCAGATCTGTTTTTTGATGCTCTTTTCAGAGTTGTAATCGATCTGAAAATAGGAGCTCGGACTGGGTTGGCTGGTTCAAAAATCGGTTTAGACTTGTAAAAACCGGCAAAAGAACGACCGGTTTTGAAAAAAGTTTAGATCGGTGGAAAAACGGCAGAAAACGGACCGGTTTTCAAATATTTTCTAGACGGACAACAGGTTACAAAAACTCTTTTTTTTAATGACGAAGAGAAAAAATGCTAAGAATTTAAAAACCGGCAAAAACCGGTCAACCACCGGCTGGTTTGAAAATCTTTCTAGACCAGTGGAGACCGGTCGGTCTGAACTGTTACACCGGATCGGACAGAGCCGGCCCGTCTGCCAGCCCGATTACAACTTTGGCTCTTTCGCACGGTGTAAGAAAATTCTGAGAAGACGTTGTGCAGTAGGTCAAATTTTAAAATCCGGTTTTTCAGAAACCTACTAGAAAATCCCCAAAAATCATAAACTTTTAATGATACAAATATTCAGTGACATTTTTTGCTCCTCAGGTCAAAGCAAACAGAATGACTGACATAGGGAAATATTTAGTATTCAAATCTTGGTTTTTTCGGCGAGAAAGGATGTAAGTACAATTATCTCTCTTAGAGAAAAGTATGAAACTGACAGAGACGATATTTTCATCTAAAAATTTAAGTTCATCACTATTTCTGCTTGATTTGAACCTTTTCCTACGCATGATTTCGAATAATTTTTTGAATGACTCGTCTACACTTTCTTTATCAACCAGTGTATTTCTGGCTCTTCTTCCTATAAAATCCGATAAATTAGACAGAATGAACAAAGAGCAAAAAATCCAATATCGGTATTTAGGCCCGAAAACACTCTATAGCAGTGACGCCAGAAAAATCGTGCGTAAAAAAAGAGATAAAATAAGCTGTTTGTCTGAATTTTCCTTTTCCAAATTTTATACTAAGTTAATATAAAATTAATTCTAAGATTTTTGATATATATCTCATCCTGTATTCTTGAGCATGACAACTAGGACATACTTTTCAAATGCATGAACTAATTTTATAAAAGACGAGACTAAATTTTCTGATTTTAGGAAGACATTAACAGTCCACTTATGCTCATTCTTTAGTCATTTCATCATCATTTTATAATGATATAAAAATCGCATAGAAATCAGATAAGTACTTGCACATAAATGGTGCTAAGCTAATACCATCAAAATAAACTTGGAATGAGAATTATTGAATGAGTATTTTGTGATCATCTCTTGCGCATTTTTTCTGACTTGATCATTAAGCTTAGCAAATTTTTCTATCATTTTTAATTATGATCATAAAAAGTTCAATAAATGATACTATACCTAGATCATTGTTTTACCATTAATTGATCACCCTTCTGTCATATCAAAAAATATACCATTAATGGATAATTAGTATCTCCTTTGCATTCACCTGGGCAATGACAACCATAGTTTTTCAGCGTATTTCTAAACCAGATGTGAAAGATAATAGTGTTGGTAAACAGCAATTTTATTTTACTTCGGCAAATTTTGTAAATGAAATTAGTTTTTCAGTACAAGTTACCTTTCAAAGGGAGGGACCTGTACTCCGTAGGCCCCTCAATTGGCTACGTCACTGGCTTTGCCGCCATCACAGTCAAAAGCGTGAAACATGTTTTCTGTGTTTCTAAAGCAACGCAAGGCATTTAGACAACTAACTATTGGTACAATTGAAATTCATATACGGTTATGAGTTCGTTGTATTCATTTCTGATTACAAAACTAATTTTAGTTGTATGCACAAAAAATGAGAACAAACACATACAATGTTTGTACAATACAAGTATGATGTGGTATCGAAGTCAGACGCCTTATCCGTTAGGCCACAGGGCTTTGAATCCGAACACATATTTTAATGAGATCTGATTCAGAGCTGAAAAAACTGGAAGGCTGATTCAGCTATTCAGACCTAGCTGATTATCAACTAGTGAATGTAAC